TAGGGGTTCTACAGTACATTTGTTTTCCAATTACAGCATTTCCTCATAATGTCCTCTGGCTTCCCGCATAAGAGATAAAAGGTTTCGCTCTATGATCGCGGTCATTTATCAAGTCTTCCTTGCAATTACTACTACCTCAGCTCATCTACATGTGTGAGTTTCTTCCTAAACTACTTTTTCATTCAGTGATAACTTTGTAGCTACGTTACCGCGCTGTACACATGACCTAAAACACAACGTCAATATATGGTCAGAACCCCCTAATTGTTGTCGATGTCCTGCGAAATTTGAAGCGTGCCAAGAAAGATAGCTACAGTTTATGTGGCTGGAAAAATTGAATTTGGTCACAATATGCTGAATAAAACAAAACAAGTATTCTGCTCAAGCTTGCGGAATATCGTCTCTGTTTTAGCTTAATCACATTGATTACGAGGCAACGACCTCGTCGGCTGGGTTTCAGACGGTATTCTGTAGAGATTCAATTCGGAGGAACTTCTCTGTTTTAAGGCTAATCTCAAGTGTAAAATCAGAATACGTGACGTACTGCTGTGTGAAGATGTCCAAATTATTTTGAATCTTTCTCACACGGGTTTTTTTTAAAGTGATTTGTTTCCTTTATCTTTTTCGACCAGGAGCTTAAAGCAGTGATGTCAAAATTACTTTGGTTTTTCGTGGTTCTTTCCGCTTTTGTAATGGTGGACCAAACAAAAGGATGGAGAAGGCGACGGTGCTACGCAAGAAGCTGCGTAGTGGGTACTTGGGGCTTGTGGAGTTATTGTAGCAAAAGCTGTGGTTGGGGACAGCGGACCCGTTCACGCACAATGCTGAGATATGCCACATGTGGTCGGAGTTGTCCATATGTCACTTACGAAACCGGGTCTTGCAACACGTTCAGATGTCCAAGTAAGGAATTCGAGGGAGCTTTATCACTCCACTGTTTATTTCTTTTAACCTTGAAAACATAGTAAATATATTTTCCTGAGTGTGGAAAGTTAGAGAAAATGTCAAAAACGATGCAAGTGCCACGCAAGGGTTGCAATGGGCTCATAAGCATAAGCAAATTCGCGTAACATAAACGGGTAAATCATGACTAAAAAGGCGGTACGTTTGCTCGAACACCTAGAACAACAAAACGGCGAATTGTTGAAGGAAGAGCAAATTGTA